TACAAGCCTTGCTTCGGGGGGTCCGTATTTTTTTGCATGCCTTTAAGGGCCGGGGTGTTAAGAATTATTCTGGACATTTCAAAATTTCATCTGCCCCTTCCTCTGCCATACACTATGAACGCAGCCTAAGTAGAGCGGGCGGCCATGTTGGATAATGTGATATTCATTTGGTATCACTACATCATCAAGCTAGCATGGTCTTCAGATTATGGTTATTGATTACTTGACACCAAAGTACCTATAGATAACCATGCAGAGAGTAGTGTGACTTTTCAGAGAGAACAATTAGTGCAAAGAAGAAGAAGAAGAAGGAGCTGGAGGCCGAGAAAGAGAACCCGATGACAAGGACAAGGACAAGGACGGCGATAAGGACAAGGACAAGGACGAGGACAAATTGCTATACTTACAGTAAAAAGTTGCTTAAAAATGGCTGACATCAAGGAACATTCTGGTATTTCATATGCAATTGCAACACTAAAAACAAATAAAAAAGTACATTAAGTAAGCCATTGATAACTTTGCTTCGTCGGCTAWTAATAAAGGTTATGACCGGCACCCGTATTCAGTTTATTGATCACATTTTGTAAATTGAATCTTTACAAGTTTCCAATAACAAATCCGTAATTTTGAGTAAAGTAACGTTTTGGACTTTTCACTTGATCCTGCAACACGAGAATCATTGACCTCAATTTTAATTCTTAACAATTTACGCGGCGAAATACAGGAAATATTACAGGATTGTGAAATAGTCTTCAAACATTTGATATTTAGGCAAATTGAAGAGCACTTACTGAGATGGATAAATTGTAATGAAAGGAGTGTACTTAGAGATTGTTTTACAAGCAAATAATTGTGAAAAACAACTTCAAATAAGGATTATACCCGACTTTATACTCCAATTACTGATTTTTAGAATCGTGAATACGGAAATACTAATTTGGTGATAAAATTCAACTTCATGCAATTTTACTTCAGAGGTTTTGTCAAAATACCTTCATTGAAGCTGTCCTAAAGAAAGGGTTAACATTTCAATTTGATTTCCCCACATTGCTTTTAAAGTAATTAGTGGTTTTCTACCTTAGAGTTCAAGATGAGTCCATTCATACCACACACAGTGTTGATGGCTTTATAGGCAGCAAAGAAAGAAATGGCTTAAAGATACGCTTCATTCCTCTAACTTTTCATGTGTATGCGAAACTAAATCATTACTGACTTTAGAGACTTAAAAGGCAACAATCAGAACTCAAAAAGCCATTGTTGTGATGCTGATATTGAACCAAAATGCAAGGTCGATGCTTGTCAAAGTTAGTTTGTTCTATATATCATACCAGACACACTTATGTCAACCTTCTTAAGACGTGACGTCATCGTACTTACAGAMGTCGCTAGTCCATGACAAAATGACACGATATCATGTATATAATACTGAAATATTAATTATAAGGTATTTGATATATCGACAATTGGAATCAGTACGTTAAAGCAAGCTTTAACGCGACGGAAATGTTTTGAATGAGGGTAAAAAGGAAGTTACTCCGGCTTCATGCCGAATAGACCAGTGCAGCTGTGTGCAACCGCCTTTAATTTTAGCCTGCTCCGGCTGCACGAGCGGAACAGGTCAGTTCACATGGGTACCAAACCATAACAGCTTCTTAAAATAAGTGAGTGAGGTCACTAAGGATCAAACTACGGACCTTTTTCTTGGTAACACACTAACCAATCAAGCCACTTTTGCTCCTTAAAACAAGTGTGTGAGGTCACTGAAGATCAAACTATGGACCTCTTGCTTAGCAGGCAGCACACTAACCAACCAAGCCACTTTTCTTACAAAAAGTGTGTGAGGTCACTGAGGATCAAACTATGAGCCTCTCTTGCTTAGCAGGCAGCACACTAACCAACCAAGCCACACTTGCTCCTTAAAACAAGTGTGTGAGGTCACTGGGGATCAAACTATGGACCTCTTGCTTAGTAGGCAGCACACAAACGACCAAGTCACTGAGGATCAAACTATGAACTTGCTTAGCAGGTAGCCGTCAATAGGGCAAATCAAGCCACACTCTCCTCTTAAGACAAGTGTGAGGTCACTGAATATAACGGACTATGTATTTCTATCAAACTTACCATTAAGATCTAGAATAGTATGAAAGTAGACATGACCAGGCGAATAAAAAGAGACTACAGCTGAGACCCAAGACGGCAGAAAAAGACGCTGTTAAAAACATAATCACACAGAAAAATTATTTACTTGAGACATGCGAAATACGTACTGAGCATGCGCTAATTATTGACGAACAAGATTGCGGACAAGCAAAACCATGCTTTGTACGATTTAAGGTATTTTTCGAAAATTTCTAAAAATGTCGTTATATACACAAATGGCTCAAATCCCCGAGTAGGGGATGAAACATTTTTTTAAAAATTCAAGCGAAAAACGAGACAAAAAATCAAAAGATAAGAATCAATCTGAGCGTAATTTCCTTGTCTAAAGTTGATTGTTAGACATGTTTGCCGTTTCTCTTGGTATATAGGCTGGGAAAGATCAAGATTGTCTGATAAACGTTCTTTGACTTGCGGTTTTGTTGTGTATTTTTGTGCGTGGTTTTTTTTTCTTTTTCGTTTCAAAAAGTGTTTTGCACAAACGTTCATAGTGATTATCACGGTGCAAAGACCTGTTTTTTGGGGTTTTGTCAAGGGTAGTCAAGCTTCAGTTGATCACCCTCCGGCCCCTGGCTAACGGGGAAATTCTAATGAAGGTTTCATAACTCTCACGAATTTCTTGCGGGTTAGGTGTTCGGTTATTTTCCACTAATCTCGTTCGCAGAGCCTTTATTTCTTACTGCGCATGCTCGACGAATAAATTATATCGACGAGCATGCGCTGTAGAAGATAAGGGCTCTGGAAACGAAATTGATTTTACATGAAGATTACCAGCATGCGCAGATGTTTTTCTCTCCTGTCGCTCGTGTGCCCATCGCACCAATCACACATCCGAGATACGTTTACTGAAAAACGATTTGAACGTACCGTACGTACCGTAGGTTCAGCTAAAAAAGCCCTTACTCAGTCTGTAGAGTAGTTCCTATTTCAGAGCCTTTGGTACCTTTGGACATGTGATTAGTAAGATGTCCCTAAACAGACCTCTTTACCTTGGGCGCAATGTTTTCYCATTTCAGACCACGTGTCATTCCCTAGAGTATCATTTCTTTGTTTAATGGTTGCGAATCGAAAGAGAAGACACATGAATATGGATGCAACTCAAACAAAGAATCCTATTCTCGAATGAATGACATATGATCTGAAATGGAAAGCTTCACGCCCAAGGTAAATTTGAAGAGAGCATTGCTCATAATGATAATAATCTATTCTCGCGAGAAAAGGCATACTCTGAAAGCAAATCATTAGCGCATTTACACTTCCGCCCATCAACTTTTACTCAGTGACAGCAGTTGCTATTGGCGAATTTTACAAAAAAGGATTTCGCCTCTTAGTAATCTACCAATATAAATAATTTTTCTTAGTTTCTATCCTCGAAATCAAAAATATATCATTTTCCTTATTATTTGAATGATATTGAGCGCTTTCTGGAGATTCGAATACTGTTAGTCTTTCCATCGCTTTGATCCAGGTTTTTGGCGGGTAATTTAGAAGCGCGTCTGCTAAGTGTCGGGGCTGATGGCTGTCAAGAGCCTTCCATTCAGAAAGACTCTGCTAGCGGATGCACTTACAATTTTTGTTTTCTAGAGCAAATTTCTTGGGGATAATTTCTTCAAAAAAATCGCTCTCATCGTCTTCAGATTCGCTCTCAATAGTTCGAAGGCTTAATGGAAAAGTGTAATATTTTTGTAGAGGCCTGTGGACTGATGCAATAAAGTGGTTAGAAATATTCTTTTAAAAGGTTATTTTTTGACAGAAAGCACTTAAAAATGCATAAATTATATGTCGAAATTATTCAAGTAGTTAAGTATCTTTAGCCAAATGTCGCCGTGCAATCCAAATCATTCTAGTTTAATAGATTGCAGGCAAATTTTAGGACTATATGAAAGGATTTAAATGCATAAAATTACTACAATAAGATCTTAATTTTATCGAAACGTCTTTAGAACTCAAATGATTAGAACAGTAATTTTTGTTCAGAGGATTAGTTCAAAGAAATTGTACTATGTCACGCTAATAAAATCAAAATATAGAAGGAAAAAAGATAAAATTGGTCTACCTAAAATATTTTTTTAACTTAAAGACAAAATTATATCTTCAAAACGGAAAATATATGAGTTTTACAAACTCAAAAACATGAGATTTTATCATTCTATTGGCTAATCTGACGGCATAAACACTGTGATACAAATAATTTGAATTTTAAACTCTGTCATACCTCGACGTTCCATTATCGAGCTCTGGATAAACTGCTTTAATTCTTTAGCATCAGTTTGGTTCCACTTAAAACGAGTGTGAATACGAACGGGTCAAAATCGTTAACGATGGTTCAAATATAACTGAAAAAAGCGATTTAAGTGTATTATAAGACAGACGTAGAAAGTTGGAGATGAGTGGCGTTTATGATATTGGATTGCTCAGTGATCGTGGAGTACTTTAGTCGTGTCATTAGTTTCGAGTAACTATCTTTCTCATTGATCACGTTCGTACAACGCTGTGACGTAACTGAGATGTCTCCCGACAGTCGATCGTAGAACTGTTTACATCTCCAGTTAAATAAACAACTCCTTTTAATCGAATAGCTTGGGAGATAAATGAACGTCTGGCAAAGCTAATTATGAAAARCTTTGAGAAAAAAATGTGTTTTAGGAGCTTTAATTCGTGTGATTAGAGGCCCCTTGCAGGGCCCTTGCACTCGATGCTTGGCTGGAGGTCCATGTGAAGATTGAAAGGAAAATATTTCCATCAGAAAAGATCCTCAAGAAAATAAAAAAGTTGACTCCCAGCTTGTAAAACATGACAAGATGATATGTCTATTACTAATTAAGCGGGTTATTCATCTGGAACTTTTTGGGAACCGACTTGGTAACTGAGGATAATTTGTGGCATCGCTTTCCAGACTTAAGACTTTAGCGAGAGCTTGGTCGGTGAATAAGATGGTGAAAAGAAAAACAACAACAACRAACAAACAAAAAAACAACAACAAACAAACAAACAAACAAAACAAACAAACACACAAACAAACAAACAAAACAAAACGAAAGCAAAATGGAATCAATCCATTTTCAGCTGGGAAGCAACATTTCTTATTCTAAATTCCATCGGTTTTGGAACGTTAAAAAATGGCTTCTCACTTAATTGGATGACACATGGTTTGAAAATTGGGGGAAAAAAAACAACTTACGGCTAAGGTAAATTGTAATCTGCGATGAAAAGGTTATGGAGAAAAAGCAAAAAATGAAAACTATGACATTTCTTACCCATGTTAAAGAATCAAAGTCCCAACTTGGCTCGTATTGGTCTCCATCGAATCAAATATAATATCACCTATAATACAAATGCATTCTGTGCACTTTGAAAAAAAAACCTGATCTTGTCAAGCCCCATTGAGCTCCCGGAAAAGGCGCTATATAAATTCGAATTCATTATTATTATTATTGTTATCATCATCATTATTATTCCTTTATTGCACAGCAAAATAAGAATATTACAACTCTTTGCTGGTATACATTAAACTTCAGCTCGAGATTCTACCCGGCTCCTGAGAGCTGAAGTACTCTTCTTAAGATGTGTGCCGTGCCTAAAGGTACAGATTTCTGTAGGTCTAACAAGCTTATACGTCTATCAAGTTATTATTATTATTATTATTATGATGATGATGATGATACATGACGATGATGATGATGATGATGATGATTCTTTTAAAAGCTTAAGCCATCGTTCTTTATATAACATATATGAGCGTTAAGTAGTGTTTAAAAAACAAGTAGGAGGTGTCTTTATAGAAAATCATTTTAATACTAATAAAGAGGACTTTATCGGGTATAAAGGTCCATGCACGTGACGTGTATGGTGGCTCCAGTTGGACCATAAGCTTATGCATTATTAATGAGTGTTTTAAAGCCAATTTAAGGAAGACTAATGTTGATGTCTTTAAGCTGCTTGTATATCATTAGTAGCACCACTTATTACTCCTAATCCCTATGAAACCCACAAAACGACCGAAAAAAGTATTTTTAGGAAAGGAAATTGGAATTTCAAGCTATTCTGGTTTTATCTACAGATAAAGATTATTGAAAGGTTTGAAAGGTTTGTGGGTTGGTTGTTGGTCTTTTTTATCAGTCTTAAGGTTAGCTTTAAAAGGAAAGTAAAAAAGAGGAATGACAATCATACAGATGAACATGTAAGTGAATCTTTTTGTAATAAAATCATTTATTTTTTGATTGAAAATGATTAAATAAGTGATAAACGAATTATGGCTAAATGGATTTTTGCCATTTTAATTCGATCCTAGGAGTTATTCACGATAGGGCTAACCTCAATATCTCCTTTTGCACTCACTGATGCGAATAAATTAGATGGACAGGGCTAGATGGATGGAAACATGGATCGGTGGAATGATGATTTTATAATAACTTACAAATTTCTCGCGCGCTGATTGGTTATTTTTTATCATCAATAAAAGGAAAGACAGATAAAGCTGACGTCAACGAGCGCGCGCTCTTTCCGCTAAAAATGAGAAGTTTTTATCGTTTTTATTATTATATTGTAAAAAACAGACATCAGTTTTTTATGTGTCTGTCCTCTTACTGACGATAAATTTTGTCATCAAATTGTCAAAGTAGTATGCGCGGGATCCACACTACTTTGACAATGTTAGGACGCAATTTATCGTCAGTAAGAGGACAGACACATAAAAATCTGATGTCTATTTGTCAAATGGATTGGTGGACAGATGGATAGATAGATAGATGGATGGATGGATGAATGGATGGATGTATGGATGGACATATGGATATATGGATGGATGAATGGACACATGGATGGATGGATGGATGAATGGATGGATGGATGGATGGATGGATGGATGGATGGATGGATGGATGGATGGATGGATGGATGGATGGATGGATAGATGGATGGATGGATGGATGGATGGATGGACACATGGATGGATGAATGGATGGATGAATGGATTGGTAAACAGATTGATGGGTGGATGGATGGCAGATAATAAAGGAATAAATGGAAAAGATTAAATGAAATGAAACAATAACGCCATTTAGATGGAAGTCGTAATATCCGTAAAGGATTAGTTTAAGCAAACCAGGGTTGTCGTCAAATATATAGATAATGGGGCTTACCAAGAGATCAAATATAAAAGTAGTTCTAGAACAGCCAATCCTTAATCTGTTTGAAGAGGTTCAAGCTCGAGAAGACAATCTGACGATGCCTTYAAGATTACCTGATATAGCAAGGTGCCAATAATAACAATATCTCATACTTGGTCGCGTATGAGGCAGCACATTCCATCTCCCATATTGGGTCTGTGGGCCAACATATTCCTAGATCAGGAGCCCATTACTAGGAACATCCATCTCCCATACTGGGTCTGTGGGCCAACATATTCCCAGATCAGGAGCCCATCACTAGGAGCATCCATCTTCCATACTGGGTCTGTGGGCCAATATATTCCCAGATCAGGAGCCCATTACTAGGAACATCTATATCCCATACTGGGTTTGTGAGCCAGCATATTCCCAGATCAGGAGCCCACCATTACTAGGAGCATCCATCTCCCATACCGAGTCAGGGGCGGCGGAAGCTGAAAAATTTTGGGGAGCACTCCAATATTTCACGGTACCTTGAAATGACCCCCCCCCCC